TATTTTAATTATTCATCTCATTAAAGTATTCCGTTTATAGACTTCAAGAAAATTTATAATTTGGTTTTTAAAATTTTGAAAAAAATATCATTTAAATACTTTAAAGTATATCGTGTTTAAATCCTTTCATTCGCATTATCTCCATATGGTTTCTTCAAATTATGTTCACATGTTTTTAAATGATTTATTTGTTTTTTCACTAAATTAATTTCCGTCTAAATTAGTTTCGTTTAGCAAAAACAAAAAAAAAAGTTGTACTCGTATTTACAATAATCTCCTAAATTATTGAAACCCGAAATGACCTTCTATGTCTAAATAAGAAATCCTCAGCAAAATAGGACCCCTTACATATGTTCGTTAAGTAATTTCTTTTTAAATCTTAAATTTTTGAATCATTTTAAATCTATAACATTTTATGGGAAATGTCAAGTAGCGAAGAAGTTTCTATGTATATATTTTGAAAAAGCTATGCTTTTTGATAATTCAGTGCCGATGGTGACATTACCAGCGCCCTGGGAGAAATTGCTACGACGCTCCATGTCTACTAAAGACGCCTATATAAAAAATGCCCAAGTTGTTACTTTGTCAATTGAGTGATAAAAAACAAATGCAATTGCTCTTAGCAGGGCTGGTTACTGTACATTGCTAAGTATAATCTAATGTATCTTTTAACTTGGTAGCTCCCGGTCTACATACAGTACAAAAAGTATTTAATAAGGATTATAGTTTTAGTGCGATTGGAAGTAAAAAGACTTAACGAAAAACTGTTTTTTACTCGTATCTGGATTAAATGCTTTTAATGATGTAGAACAGAAAAATAATCTTAGGTTTTAAGAAAGTTAATTATATATATATATATATATATATATATATATATATTATTATATATATTTTGAACTGAAAATAACTTTTTACATTATATAAAATCGTGTGTGTGTTGACAGTGAACTCCTCCTTAACGGCTGAACCGATTTTGATGAAATTTTTTGTGTGTGGTCAAGTGGAATCAAGGATGGTTAAGATTCACAATTTGGTCCACTGGATAATGCTTTTTTAATTATTATACAGTTTTTTGGTATCCATATACATTTATATTAGACATTTAAAGTTTATTCAAGCTTACTTTGATTTGTTTAAAATATTTAAAGTCTCTAAAATAAATCGTTTAACTATCCTGTTGAATTTTTGAATTTCCTGGATTTACCAGGAATGCCACCACATAACTTAAGAGTGAAAATTCGCAACAGCACGAGAGTGGTCATGAAAAAAATTTTGGGTAATGTACTTGAAGCTACAATTTTGAATGGCAAATTTGAAGGTGAAACTATTCTCCTGCCACAAATCCTAATGATTCCTTCAAACTCACCCATTCCATTCAGACGTCTGCAATTTCCAATTCGCTTGGCATTTGACATGACTATTAATAAGTCACAAGGTCAAACAATGTCGATTTGTGGGATAGATCTAGAAAATCAGGTCTTTTCACATGGCTGATTATATGTGGCGTGTTCTCGCGTTGGAAAACCGTCAAAATTATTCATTTATACTTCTCAAGAATTGACTAAAAATAATGTTCATCAACTCGCATAAAGATGACATTAAACAAACATTATTGATTATTACGAATTGTTTTTAGAAAAATTGATGTTCTTTCAAAATAAAGAATGACAAAATTATTACATTATTTGTCTCTCATTTCTTACTTTCTTTAATATCCTAATCGATTAGTATATCATGCAGGACAATATATGTCGGGTTCGCTAGTATACATATAAAATATAAAAAATAATTCAATAAATGTTTTATTTCATATGATGCTTTTAAAAATATTTAAAAAATTCCTTCTTTAGGAAAGAAAGAAAGAGAATTTGGAGAGGTCCTCAAGCTAAAAACATTAATTAATTTATTAATTAGTAGCAATTTTGCTGGCAGCATGTAAGTCGCATCTCTTAAACTTAATTTTTATTTTTTGAATTTTAACCCGTTAATACCAAAGATACAAATTAAATAAAAACTATTAAAAACTAAAAAATATGATTTAATGTAGCGTGGTGTTATCTTTACTAGCTTAATATGTACAATTATTAGATTTACATGTTATATTACCAATAAATTTCCTTGTTTAATTTAGAATAATTGTCATATCTCAAAATACAAAATATTATTCTATTTTATAAATTTTTGTATTTATTGAATCAATTATTAACATTACGACAGAAATGAATCATTCGTAATGTATTTAAATATGAAACTCAATAGAGAGTTGCGAACTTCAATATTAACTATAATAAATATTATATGGATTTTTAGATAACAGTTTGTTATAAATATTTGAAAATTTTGTAAAATACAAATGGCAAGTTTATTTTTTGTGTCACAATTTCATAACATTTAATTATTTATTATAATAAAATTAATAAAATATCTAGTTGCTTGTAATTTATAACATAAATATATAATATATAATAATATTCTATGTATTTGTAGATAATTGCTTCATAAATTCCATAGTTTTCAACCCTAAGTGTATACTCATAGCGTAATAGATATTTTGATAGTTTTCTTTAAAGTCGGCGTCATATAACGTGTTTTAAAAGGAGATGTTCCCATTATTGGTGAAAGTTCACAATGAAAATTTTTTATCTAAAAGGATAATAAAAGTTCTAATCTGCTTTTGTCAAAATAAATGTATTCCTTCTAAAAAGTACCTTCTAAAAAGTACCTTCTAAAAAGTAAATAATGTACACAGTTAAAAGAATTATTGAAAACTTGTTTTCTCTTCTCATTAAATGCTATAAATCAGGGATGCCCAACCCATCACGCTTCTCGCGTATTTGTTTTTGTAATTCGTTTTGGCTTCCCATAAAATACAATTGTCTTCCCATAAAATTGCCTGCTTTGTCGCACATTGATATATGTACAAAGGAGAATCAAATTATTATATATAATGTCTGATGCAATGCCCATACATAACTAAGACACTGTTAAGTAATACTAATAATTTCTTTTCATATGTAGGTGTACACAGTCTTATACCATCATCCTCGATCTATCAAAATTAGGAGAACCATTACCCTATAGATCTTGTCTTCAATATTATGAAATACTATTTTGGGCACACTTTTTGGGAAAGTGTGTTCATGTGTTGTGTTATTCAACTATTAATAATTTCTAAAGTTTTCTCGTTGTTATTTTTTATTTTCCATTTCTGGAAAAATTCCAGGATGAGATTAACATGGTTTTGCAACGTGTTGGTTATATTTCTGGCATGATTATCGGAATATACATGTACGTGTCATCTGCGTATAATGCTAGCACCGAGGGACTAAATCTTGAGATATTAGACGTAAAGAAGTTGTACAACAAGGAGGAGAGCGGCAATCTTGAGAAAGATTGGCTTCTATTCTTCGGACTGATGAGATGAGAGGAGGAAACTGCCGAGGATTTCGGTCAGTACGACTAGGACACCAAAACAAGACATTTTAACTACCAGGTCGTCGTGTCAGACCTTGTCAAATGCCTTGGCAGCATCCACCGAGAGTGAGAGTTGGTGACATTGTGATTAATTGGGATGACAGCATCAAATACCTGGGAATCTTGTTTGATAAGCGGTTCGCTTGGCACAAGCACATACAAAAGAAGTAGTTGCGCAAAAACACTGCACTGCTTATAACCACTTTTCAAACACAATAACCTAAGCATGAAGAACAGAAAGCTGATTAGCTGATTTACAGCCAGATAATCAGACCAGCATTACTCTATGGGTTACTACTCTATGTCGTGTATAGCGAAGCTGCCCACTCTACTATCCAGAAGCTGCAAGTTGCTCAAAGTTAGGCTCTCTGAAGACTCTAGACTCAAAGTGTCTTGGTACATCCGCACAAATGACATGCTAAGAGACGTTAGAATAGACCCAGTAAACAAATACATAAGGGACAAAACCCTGAAAATATTCGCGAAAACCGCCAGGCTGCCCTACTTACCATTATCTAATCTCAGAATAATCTTTAGCCGGACAGGACGGTACGCAGATTTTAGATGAGTCATGGAATAATCACGAAACTATTAAAGAGTAAAAGTGCCCAGATGCACTAACTCGGACTCAACATGATGAATATGTAATGTATATTGTTGAATAAAAACAATAAATAAATGAAATTCTGATTATATTCTTGCCAAGGGTGATATTTTTATCCTATCTATTTCTGCTGATTCCAAATCAATATAAGGAATTATTTGTGTAACTTATTTATAAACTTGATTACGAATAAGCGGTCTAATCTCTAATAATAATAGGAATAATAATCATACGAAACAAAATCTAATGCTTGCCAACCCTATGTGTGTGCATAGGTGAATTCGTTCCTGCTGTAGCAACCCTGCTAATCGAAGGTGATTCTTTCGCTATTTTTGAGCATTTTGTTTATATATAAGTTCTTTTAGGAACTCTAAATTTATGGTTTAACTAGTATGCCTGACTAATCTTTTTAAATAATCTAGTAAACCAAAAAAAAAAAAGAATAAATAATCACAATTGTATGTTTTTTTGTCGTCAAAACAACATATTTTTTTAAATTTATGCAATGCTTATATCATATAACCAAAGTTGAATAATAAACTGATTAACTAATTAAAAATTGAATCATAACTGATTTTTAACTGTTAGATACAACAATGTATGACAACAGGAGTGACAATAGTCACTCCATATACCCCATTATCCTTTTAATATACTAAGAGCTCAAACATTATAATTGTATATATTGTATAATTAATTAATAATTAATTAATAAGTTTAATTTTTTTAATTAATAATTAATTAATTAATTAATTGTATATATTTATAATTTTATGATAAACTATTATTCCCATTCTAATCACATATTTACTCGTGAAGTATATGCAGATTTATATTTGTTATATATTGATACACATAAATAAATTGGTTCAAATCTAATATGAATTATAAATAATTAAAAATAGAACAGTTTTCAAATTACCTATATATTGGCTTTTTTGGATTTCCATACTCATCTTCACTATCATCATCTTCACACTGAATTTTGATAACTTTTTTCTCGACTATACTCGGTGTGTTTGATCCTGAGGCATCATCGTGAGCCTAAAAATATATAATAATACAAAATGGATAATTGAATTATTACATAAAAAAATTTAACTTTATTTTATGTATATTTATACATATACATATTTTATAAAGACTTATTAAAAGGGAGTTTTTGAAAATGCTGAATACTCTATGATACTATGATGAATACCCATTGGTTTCGTATCCAGTAAATTATATTTTTTAAAAATTAAGAATTAAGAATTAATTAAATTTAATTTAAAAAATTAAAAAGGAGTTTTATAAATTTCTATTTAAAAATTCATTTTCTATTTATATTTAATTTTAAAATATAATAAAAAATATAAAACTATATTATGCAACAGTGGGAATGGTTTCAAAATGTATGTAATTCCATTAAAGAATTAATGTGAATAAATCAATTAATAAAAAATAACATTAATATGCAAAATATTTAACAATTTAAATTTTTATTTAAAATTTTATTTGAAAACAGTTTTTCCATTATTTTCCCATTAAGTTGGGTGTGTTTATTCAAGGTGGGAATTTTGTTTAATGGTTCAATGTATTTATTATTATAAAATGGATTTTTTTTTAATATTTCAATGAGTTAACGTTAATTCAGGGCAGCTAAGCTCAAATTTCCAATTCATTTTTCTCTTAGACATCTAGATTACTAACGATAACGGGTAAAAATAAAAAAATGAGGTTTTAAAGAGTTTATAAAAATTTTTATTTTAAGGATAGTGTCTTCATAAAGGCAAAGATAATAACCTATGAATAATCTAATGAATTTTTTTAAATCTCGTAAGTCATAATATAAAAAAACTTTAACCCTTTATTGTCAAATACTCAGATGACTAGGCGAAAATCAGGTTCTAAATTTAAATGAAGAGACCCAAATTAATGTAAATTCATTGAGAAATTTAAAAAAACTCGCTTGTTGCACAATGTTATTAAATCACACATAAAAATATAAAACAATATATATAACAACAATATATATAATAACAATATATATAATATCTCAGCTTCATAACTATAAAAATTACAATAAATAAATTTGCGGTTTTCCACTTAATAAATAATTAACGCTAAAAATTAACCAATAAAATTAAACGTTGAGTTGTAATTGTTTTGCTTTAAAGCAAAAGGCGGAGTTTAAGTTTAACTTTAAAAAACCAGTTCTCCAAAGCTAACCATCGACTAAAGTCAAAATAAAAGATTAAATATTAATATAAATAATTGTGTTTAATTCAATCGAGAAATTAGACCATACAGTAGCGAGGCGTCAGCTTTTTGACAAGGTGTTCACAATTCAATCAAAACAGAATTCCAACTATAACGTATTCCCCCTACTTCTAAGTTTTGTCCTTTCCACAAGCAAATAGCGTACAAGACCAATAAAACAATTTATTTAAATGTTCGCAGCCTGTGATCCACTGGTTTTTATTTACCATAAAGCTGTAGCTGTAGGAAAACGACGACTTACCATAGATTTCGACATTTTTACAACAGGTATCAAATTCTTCATATCTGGAGTTGGTTTATTCATTTTATGAATTAAAATCTTTTTTTCAGAAGATCGTTTAAAAAATGACATTGAATCAAATCTTTAATCACACATTTATTCATTTCTAAATATTATTTTTCACTTCAAATTTCTTTAATCTCTTTCTTTACTTTTACCATTTTCTAGTATAAAATTGCAATAATGACTTTGTTTTGATTTATTTCCAACCTCCATATAAGAGTAAGAAACTCTCATGCATTCATTTACTCTTTTACTTTGTATTTACAATGCCCGGTTCAGTTTTTATACTGAACTATTTCCCCATATAAAACAGCAACCGTGACTTTGATTGTATTTGCACGCTTTGTATAAATTTTTGGTTCAGTTTAGTGGAATGATCCTCTCGTCAAATGTAAAGCGATTTTCGCTCAGTTATTTCTTTTCTCTTTTGTATTTACTTTGCATAACATTGGAAGTGCACTTTTTTTATTGAACTGCTTGCACGCATTAATTTAAGAGTTGAGATTATTTTACGTACATATATTTGTTTGTATGTTTTGTGTTGTGTATTCAATATTGAACATAGTCCCAATGTGAATGTTATTTCATTTGCATGCTTTGTAAGCAACGCGGTGCAGTTTTAATTTTGAACCTTAGTATATTTTAAGAGGAATGTGTTTTCTCTTTTATTAATTGAAAGTAATGTTGGGTGTAACTAACACATGTGTGATTTTGTTTGTATTCTACGTTTTGTGTTTATGTTAATATGTTTGGAAAAGCTATTATAAAAAATGTTAAATAGCAAAATTATTAGATTATTTACCTAATAAAAAAAAATCTAAAAAGGAAGCTTTGTTAAGGTGTTCAGTGAACACTCTGAACCATTCGACGCCTCCCCTCTGAAACCATATATAAACAAAACATAAAATAAGTAAAACAGATAATCGCCATATATGTAAATGTAAAAAAAAAAATTGATCTTAAAAGGAATGAAAAAAAAAAATTAGATAATATTCTTCATGGGACATCTCATAGTACTGAATCATTTGAACGTGATTTTCTATTTATTTTGAGCCTATAGCTGGTAATATGTCGCCCATAATTTGACGGTTAGTCATTTTCAAATTGTTTTGATCTGATGTTTTTGATCTGATATGATCATTTTTAAAAGCAATTAAAAAAAGTATAGTGGGGACAAATCATATGATCTTGGTGATAAATCCACATCAAGAAAAAATGGAAATTTGCAGGAAATTTTAAAGCATAAATCTATTACATTCTTTCTATATTATCTTCTCAACACCCTGTTATTGTGCAGTGATAAGATAATTTGATATTTGATATAATGAAGTTATAAAAAAATATTGAAATGAGACGTACACAACTAATAAAATTTATTGCTAGAAATTTTACAATATAAGTAATTAATTTTTATTAGTTTTAAAATACAGTAAAAATGATCAAATAATTTTAACTTACAGCTTATAGTATATAAATATATATACCAAAATAATTATAAATAATAAAAATAAAATACTAAAATAAATACTAAATATATGTCGAGTAAGGTTATTCAGATATTTTTAGTCCAGTGTACAATCCGGTGTACAAATAAGTGTTATGTTAAACTTCTAGATGCACTTTTTTAATTTTTTGTCAATAAATTTGTAAAACTGAACAATAATATTAAATGCATATATATCTTTTCGATTTTTGTTGAACATAAATAAGACAATTACAAGAAAAGTATTGACCGATATTTTTATTTATTTAATTTTAAATTTTATTTATATTTATATTTATTTTTGTATTATTTTTTATATTTATTTATCTATTATTCTTTAATTTTTATCATTATCGGTTATTATATCGAGTAATAAAATTATTAGACCCCGGTTAAGTGGTAAATTGGTGAAGCGATAAAATTAAATACACATAAATTAAATATAAATTGATAGAGATATTTAGACGTAACTCGATAATCGTTATAGTAATCAAATGTCAAAGCAGCTGATTTAAATTTTGATTGATTTCTCTTACATAAATTAAAAAAAAATTAAAAAAAAGTAAATTAAAAAATAAATAAAACTTATTTTATTGATTTATTTTTTCTACAAACATATCTTTATGTTTTCTTTTCCCAAGTAAACTTAAAGTTTGTGTAACTTTACAACAAGAAGAATAATTTGATGTATTGCGAAATACCAAAAATTATTAAACTTGATGTCCCAGTATCTCGTTAACTCGATAACATTGGAAATTTATAACCACATACATACAAGCAATTTTTTTACTTTATTGTGTTACCGAACACGTCGAAATACCCCCAAAATATTTTTCTATCTACTCTTATGTATACTATCACTCGTATTTATAATAGGGCTGCTCTCTTTTCATATAAAACACGAATATATAATTATATATAATTTTATAAGTCTTGATTAATTTAAAAAAAAATATTTTCATTATTATTAATTGTATTAATTATTTATACATATTAATATCACCTTTCACCTTATCGGCTTTGTCCAAAATGCTGTTCACACTTTCATTGCTTTCACACGGCGCTACTAAATGTTTGTACCTGAAATCAAACTCCTGAGGACCATCATGTGAAATGCTATTACTTATGTTGGTGGCACTTGAGCAATCATCACCGACAGATTCAATGACCGATACATTGACATCGAACTGGCCTTTTTCAGTCGTACCACTCATTTCAAATAATTTATTTCTATTCTATTTTCTATTTTGATAATATAATCTAATCATCGCAATGTTTTCACTTTAATTATATATTTTTATATATATTTAATATTTCCATATTGCTATTAGTTTTTTATTGAAACCGATTTCAGATTATTTCAACAACAGAACTCGAATAAGGCCGCCAATGAACTGAAGATCGGCTCGTTCGAAGTAGTCGCTGTAATCTTCGTCTAAGTTTCCAGCGCTACCAACAAAGTGATTTTTTTCCTATTTATTTTTTTTAAAATGAGTTTCCATATATATGTACATATATATATACATATTATATATATTGTGTTTTAAAAGATAGGCATCTCAGTGCTTTTAATTAATAATTGCTCCAAGTGAACTTTTTATATTTAATTATAGTGTTCGTGTGCTAATTTTTAATCAAGCATTTTGCTAAATTAATTGTGGGTATTACAAAAAACAGAAAACAAAAAAATTACTTAACAATTGTCGGTTGCATGTGTATATTCACTGTATATTAACTGTATAATCAGTTTATCGATATTGCATATCGCTAAGTTTAAATGATTTTGGTTTTTCGCGATATATTTTCCACAAATAATACCTTATAAATGGAGTTCCATATTAAAAGAGTTTTGGAAAATTTGTTAGTAAATACCCTACTTTTTAGTAAGATATTCCCTTGCCATACTATGGAGACTGGGATTTCAAAATCAGTTGATACCATTTGCCGCTGTAGACTTTTATGCTTCTGAGTAGTCAAGAAGTTATGCAGTATTAATATTATTAGGTAGTTATATAT